GCAGTTTTTGCAAAAAATGGCTGAATTTTCACTAATCGGAGGTGGTGGTGTTGGGAGGCGGTGGGAAAGGTATCCATAAGCTTTTATATTTGTAATGGGTTTTTACTATTTTTTAATTAAAAAAAACCAAAAATTTTTTTTTTAAAAGTTTTATTTTATAAATATTTTATTAATTTGTTTTTTACGATATTCATTTATTTTTTATGATTTTATTATGGATTTAGACAATCATTATGAATTAATACCCGTAGGGGTATTTATGGCTTGAGATTATGATGGAATAAAGCAAAATGACTCACTAAACTGTTTGCGCTTCTTTGTTATGGAGCAGCAGTCAGTCCATGCAATTTTGGATGCGATTTTCACTATGGGTCATCCGGAAACAGTCTCTCTGTGTTTTAGTACAGGGGTAAGACTGCGTACATCCGACCCCCCCTCTTACCTCACCGTAGGTGGGAGCCTTTGCGGCACTAGGGTAAATGAAAATGAGGGGTATTAATGGTAGAAATCAATGTTTAATCCTACCTGGAGGGAATAAAAAAGTAATAGTCCTATTTGTGCTTTTTAGGTAAATTTTAGTTCTATTGAGGGCAATTTCTATTTACATTTACAAGAAGGCATGACGGTGTAATAATGGAGATAACCACAAGAATTCTTCTATAGTGTAGGGGAACCTCTGGGCTTCACTTAATTAGGATGTTTTGATGCTGGTTTGGTCTGGTTTGGTCTGGTTTGAACTGGTCTGGTCCGATAAATGTTTGGTCTCTGTGTATTTTATAAATGTCCAAGTCTGGTCTGGTCTGGTATGTTTAAGTCAGGTTTGGTCTGATCTGATATGGTCTGGCCTGATTTGGGACTGAAAACAGTCCAAAAGAAAACATCCTTATTCGGCGTTAGTTAGGCAACTTTTATGTTAAGCGCGTAGCCAAGACATTGAGTAGGACTCGACCTGTACAAAAAAACATTTTCAGAAAATTTACACGGAATTTTTAAGCTAAAAATAAAGGCTTTTTTAAATTTGGGGTGGGCCGTGCCAAGGTTGACCCCCCTAGCTCCTCCCCCAAAGTAAGGTGCCTTGAAGTTCAAGACAATTTTTTTTAATACGGAGTATAAATTTTTCAGTTTTCGTAATTATCTTATTCGCTAATGTTTAAATCTAATATAATTATTTTTCGATACAGGGATGAGAGAAACCTTCACTTCGACCTGCACATAACTCTAGTTTGTGCATGTGCATGTCTTCAAGTCTAGTTTGAGAACCGACCAGGTTGGTGGGATAGATTGACAATGTAATTCCAGCATGTTAGAATATATGCATCCTACGCTATCTAAAAACTTAAATATGGATCCCGTCAATATGAAAACTGGTTATATACTTCGCCAATACTATTTTTTCTAGCATTCCAGCACCACCATTAAAATACACTCTACATATTATTTTAACATATTGGTTAAATAAAAAAATTAATTAAACTATTAGGATAGCGTTTTTTCTTTGATTTTACTTCTGAATAATTATGAAATAAAAAACATGCATTTCAATCAGTGATGTCAATAGTGGGCTATAGTGCCACTATAGCGGAATAGAAGAGCGGGGCGGGGGTAGGCACTATGAGACTGCTTATAGCGGAGCGGTTGTCAATAGCGGCTATAGCGGGCGCTATAGCGGGAAGAATAGCGGCTATAGCGGACACTATAGCGTCCCTATAATTTACCAGGCTACTTTAGTGCCAGTTTTGAGGGAATTTAGGAGTACTTTTACTTTCAGATGTTTTTGGACTAAAATAACTCAAAACAGAAACCAATATCAAACATAGCCTATGTCATACATCTTCATGTTAAGGTAGACTAGGTAGTTGAAGGCATCCCAAAAACCACGATTTTCTTATAACGAGACATTAATGGCACAAAATCATCAAGAATTATCTGGAACTTCATTTCTAATGTTTAGAGGTAAGATACTTGAACTATTTGTTTCTTTTGTTTAAGAGTCTAATGCCTCTTCATTGGTAATATAGTAAGTATAAATTTCATGATTGACTAACATATTTGTGATTGTTTCTTTGAAAATATATGTGCATGACATGTAATGTATACATAAATATAATATGTATTTTGCATATATATTGTCTAAATAGCGGTCATCCCGCTATCCGCTATATCGTTATAGCGTTTTCGGGGTTGGCCGCGTTACGCTCTGCTATCCGGGATTGACAACACTGATTTCAATGTTAGATAAATAGATGTCATTAGTTCATTTTGATTTTAATAAAAAATAAAATGAGTTTATTTGAAGTTCAGTTATTTGTTGAAGCACTATGACTTGAAAGTTTGTGTTTCGTACATTTTGGGTCTAAAAAACTCTAACGATTGAAATTTCAGATTTAAAAAAAAACTATATATACAATATTGGTGTCATATGAAAGATCTTAAAAAAGTTCTTATTACGCAATGATGGCATTGTGCTAACATCACCCGCATACGAGAAGTCTCTCATGACCTTTTTTCTTCCCCTTTTTCCTCCAAAAGATTGAATCACCAACCTGAAGGACCTTCTCGTCCTGATCCGACAAGGCATTTGAGAGGTTGTAAATCACAGTTATTCATTCAGTCCATTCTTGTATCATGCGCATCAGAAGTCCAACCAAGCACACATGAGCTGTAACCTCTATAGTGACGCTATGAGTTTCGATTCTTGGTTAATCATCAACATTTCGACCACCCGGCCAATTGAGCTACCATTTTCCTTTTTAGGCGATCAACCCTCCCTCTGTTTTTAAACCCTCCCATTCCCCTTCCCACTTTTAAATCCTTGTTTTCTTCCCAAAAATAAACAATTAGGAGTCTAAGAGCCCGTTTGGTGACTATGGTTTTCGTCTTATCAGGCTTATCAGTCAACTTTTTAATCAAACATGTCATTTTTGATATCACGCGTTGGACTGTATAAAAATAAGAAAAAGTAAGGTTGGAGTTACTTTTCTGGCTGTATTGGCTAATGTTATTGTGGATGACAATTTTAGCTATTTTTCATATAATTTTTTCTTTATTTATTAATAAATAAATATATATTTTTCATAAATCAGCAGAATCGACCAATATATTCACTTCAGCCAGAACTTCATAAATTTCATCAGAATCAATCGATTCAGCTGATCTCAATGTTACCAAACGGGCTATAAAAACCCTATCTGCCCTACAAATGACCTTATGCTTCCTTGTTCAATCACGGGTCCGATAGAAGTTTCTGCCTTTCGGAGTAAATAGTAGAATGGGCTGTCCCTCGTATTTAAGAGGATGGTTGGCAATATCAAATTCTCGTTCCATATATATTCATAAGTCGGGGTCTGCTTCTGATCTGCGGTGTCCGTACATTAACTAGTGAAGTGAGGTGTACGTAACTAATGACACGTGCATCCCTCTTAGATAGAAAAGATGAAAATGTATACGTAGTATACGAGAAAAAGATGAACATGTATGAATAATTAAAAAAATGTAAAAAAAATAAAAATAATCAAGTACTTTTTAGAGAAAAACTTATAAAAAAGTGAATTAGAAAAGAATACTACCTCCTACCTCCGTCTTTTAAAACTTTGTCATCTTTCCTTTTTGGGACGTCTCAAAAAACTTTGTCACTTTCCCTTTTAATCAATTATTTTGTGGTTTCTATTATTTCTCTCTCCTCTACACAAACCTCAATCACACAATTTTTACTTTATTATTCTCCGTGGCGGTCAACTTTGGCAAATTTTAAGGGACGAAAATAGTAACTCCGTAAAAAAGTGTAGCAAAAATTAAAATGCACTACGAAAAAAGTGTAGCAAACAAAATAATACACCCCTGTCACAGGGGGAAATTTCCTTTAGCGATATGTTTCACTATTGTTTAAAACATTACACGTTTTCAATTTGTGAATGAAAAATTAATTTGTGACATCTTATAATTATAATTATGAATGAAAATGTGAAATCTTATAATAAAATTTGAAGCCCGATAAGTAAAACTAATATTGAAAGAATTGACTGAATCTGATGGAATTGATAAAGTCATGACCAAAACCGATGAATTGATTGAATTTACTCAATTACAAAAAAAAAATATTTAAAATGTATTCTATTAATAAAATAAATAAAAAATTATATGAAAAATGGCTAAAATGATATTATGATAACTTTAGTCAATACAGTCAGACACGTAACTCCAACCTTAATAAATAAATAAATAAATAAATAAATGAAAATATTTTATTTATCAATAAAATAAATAAAAAATTATATGATAAAATAGCTAAAATGATCATTTACGGTAACTTTAACCAATAAATCCAAAAATGTAATTACAATCTTAATTTTTCTCACTATTATTTAAATCAGTGCGCAAAATCAAAAATTACGTGTTTGACTAAAAAGTTGAATAATAAACCGAAAAACAGAGTAGCCAAAGAGACTCCACGTGTTCTAAAATTGGAGTAATATATAGGGAGTATATACCGCGCGGTGCCCCTACCGACGTATTAATAACAATTTATTATTCGTACAATTATTATTGCTTATTCGTTTTCAAGATGAAGTTAGTAAATCAAAGAATTATTTCCAAATGGAGGATTAATGATCTTTGACATTATTTAAGACTTTTAACGTCTAAGTGGCAACAGTCATATTATGAGGCGTCGTTCCTTGCGGTGGAGGATCTAGAGTACCCCGCTTTCGGTCTATAATTTCACTACTAGTACTTAGAGTAAAATCAGTGTCTCGCTTCCGATCAAGAATTTCACTACTAATGTGCTCCTACCGACAAATCTCTGGTCCGTCATTGGTTACTTATGTTCTTATTTTCGTTTCGCAATAATGTCACGCAGGATATTCTAGTTTCATCATAAATCTATAATTTTACTGTTCTTAATCACGCCTCTCAAGTCAAAATATACGCCGTATTTTAAAGTTGACTTTTTTAGCAAAGAGAATGACTTTTGGGGGAGCCTGGAGCGAGTGTGAAACACTCACCGGAATTACGGCCGTCGTCCTCATTCCGATTGCTGATGAAGTTGACAGCGGAATACCTCAAGTAGCAGCCGGCGTTCAGCGCCCTCCCTTCCGTGCTCGGCAAACAACCTTTCACCTCTCTTCTCGCCTTATCCAAGCAATCCCTACACCCTTCTCCGCTCACCGTTTTCCAGCACTGCGCCAATCCGTACGCCCCGTTCTGCTTCCCCGTCGCGTATCCTCCACGCGCCACCGCGTCCCTCGCTACGCCGTCAATCAATCTCCCGGCCTTCGCGGCGAAATCCGCCGTCCCGCGCGAGGAGCTACTACAGTTGGCTGTGTCCAGGCGCGAATCGGTGCTCTCGTTAAGGAAATTGTAGCTGTCGTAGCGGATGAAGCAGCCGTCGAGAAACAAGCGGCCGGAGGTGGCGGGGAGGCAGCGGGGGAGCTTGGTCCGGCTGGAGGCGAAACAGAGGAGACAGTCGCGGGGAAGGAGGTCGCCGTAGCACTGAGCCAAGGCGTAGATTGAGACGGTGGAGGAATTGCGCGCACTGGAAGATCCCCAGCTGCGATCGGTGACGGATTGGGAGATGGCCTCCATGGCTGAGGTGAACATTGGGATGATGACGATGGTGGCGGTTCTGTTGTGGCCGCAGGTGACGGGGGAAGCCTCCTCGATGCGGGGATCTGCGGCGTAGCTAATGGAGGCTGATTTCGTCAACACCATCACTGCCGCTGTGAGTGCCCATTTCAGATATGGGATCTTCCGGCTCATGAAATAGAATCTCTGCAAACCTAGCTGATTGGGCAAATCGGAAGGGAGGAATTGAAGGGATGTTCTTATCGTTCGTATGATATACTCCCTTTCCCCGGCAGAAGGTAAGGCGAACGGTTTAAAACATATGCTTGACTCACGATAAAACAACTTAATTCTTGTTCACACTCTTATTATTTTTAGTAAATAAAATTAACATATTCAGAAACTACATTGAAATCGCTGCAAAGCCTGATAAAAAAATGTAAATTTGGTAAAAAATTAATTTAGAAAGTAAAAAATTAAAACTGATTTAAGTTGACCATGAGAATAGTGGACGGGAACCTTCTAATATGACGGAGGGAGTAACAATTAAAGAGAGAATTCCCGAGTTAAACATAGAAAATATGCAAAAATAGGATTTCTATGAGTTACTTATGTTTCACACGGAAGTTTTAATAGACACGGACCAAAGTACCCTTAATGATGAAATCCCTATTTGTTTAATTTATTTACTAACTAACACGAACATATACAACAAATTACACATGTGTACAGGCGTACAGCCTGTTCTCAACATATCAGCACACCAGATGTGGTGATAGACTATCACCTCTTGTTCAGCCACCATCGGTCGCCATCGCTGCTGGCCGCCGGCTGCCGGACGCCGCCGGACGCCACTGCCGACTGTCACCGCCGGCGTCGCCTAAACTGCCGCCGCTGTCAAGCAAGTCTTCATCTGCTGCTGTTGCCCTCTATCTTCCATCGTCGCGACACTATCCTCTTGGATTGACGCCATATGCTCCGCCAATTCTACTAGTGTGCCTGCTTCCATGTCTGTCCAGTTAGTTGCAGAACTCCTACCAGATACATTATTACCATCTTCATAAAAATAATGAAATATTATTTAATGTCATTTTAAAATCATAATGTCATTTTGTAAAAAAAATACATGACATTAACATTTGTAAAACATGACATTATTTGCCTAACATATCTATGTAATTGTCATCTTTACGAAATTAATAACGATTTCATAAATGTAAAATGACATTATTTGCCAAACATATTGAAAAACACTTCACAAATGTAAAATGGCATTATTTGCCAAACATATTGAAAAACATGGCATATTTAAAATAATTTTGCCATTTTCAAAATGGCAAAAAAATAGAAAGATAAAATAAACAGTCAAAGGAATAAAAGGTGAGAAAAATTGAAAGACCAAATAAAGAAAAAGGGGGATTGAAGCTTGATAAATTCATATCTCTAAAGGGAAAAGAACATTCACTTAAAAATTCAGATCTCAAGAGGTTGACGCTCCAAAAGGTGCAGTTGGTTGTTATTTTGGTTGTCTATAACACTCAAGCTGCAAAACACAAGGTTATGCCATCGACCAAAATAAGAGAAGGAAGAAGAAATAGAAGACAAAGGAAAAGAAGAGATGAACGAAGAGAAGGAGAAAAAGATCAAAACTTGCCTATGATTATTACCGCCGTCCGCCGGTGACCGGAGTTGGTGAAGAAGACTGGAAATGGAGAGACATCACTGATTGACCGATGAAATCAAGAGAGCAGATTTGGCCGTCGGAGATGGGCGGGGTGTTTTCCCTTTACAGTTGAAATCAATGGGAAAGAGAATTGTTTAGATGTGAAAATAGGGATGAATAGATGATTGACAGGGATGGAAGGAATTTGAATAGATAAGAATAGAGAGGCGGTGGAATTCAAAGAGATAAGAAAGGAGAGAGCGTACAATTCGTGAATCATGAGTGTGTGACAACTATTGAAGGAAGAGAAATAATTAATTCGGGAAGGTTAAATCTAGAATAAATAAATTTAGAGAACGGACAGTCAATTGAAAGCTCCTATTTGAGGAACAATTCAATAGAAACTCCTATTTTGGAACTTCTTTCTTGTTTTACTCCTATCTAAGGTAAATACTTATAATTAAATAAAGGTGACAACTCCGGTATCCATTTAAAAATTGGGGTACCGTACCTATCAATCACTTGACTGATCCAAATCATGATATCATTTTTAATTTAGATTTAAACAATTCAACTGTAGCATTCTGATTCGTCCATGTTGACAAAGGTATAGTACCTTAAGGTACCATAGAATATACCTTAAATAAATATGGAAAAGGAGAGGCGAATAGACTTTTAAAGCTTTTTCGACTTTTAAAAGTTTTCCCTTCTAGATGAGTTGATCTATAATCTTTTGGAAGATTTATAGATGCACAGCGGAAGTCTTTAACCTCTTAGATAAATGGTGTATAACAACTTTCTATGATGGATGAAGTTTGGGCTTTGTAAGGTGAGCAGTTGGCTTGGCAGTTGGCCAGAAAGCAGGGAAACGCTGAGGCAGCTGCTAGCGAAATGCTGAGTGTATGATGAAAGTGCACTCAGAATCTTTCTTAGAGTGGGAAGATCTTTCTGATGATATGACAAGGTAGATTGATAATCAATCTTAATTAGAGCAGTGGTCTCAGCAGTTAAATGGTAACCAGAGAACTGCTGAGGCACCTACTTAAGTAAAAGTGAAGGTATGGGAAGATTGATTATATGGTGTTACTCAGGATGATGTGGGCTTTCTGAAGATGTGCATTAGTTCAAGTAAGTGGGAGTTTTACTGGAGCAGTGGTCTCAGCAGTTGGGAGATGTTAAGGGAACTGCTGAGGCAACTGCTGGGTTACCACTTTGAATTATAGTGATTAGTTTGAACAAACTTCTTGGAGATAGAGTTGTGAAGGTCTGGTGAAGTGGAGATGTTCAAAGGAAACACTTTTGCGTGAGCAGTGGGCTTAGCAGTTGGGTAGTCACCAGGGGACTGCTGAGGCAACTGCTATGCCTTAAGTAGGATTTCCTGAAATCTAATGGATCAGACCTTATAGTTGTGATATTGTAAAGCTCTTGTCTCTCAAAGAAAGTGAGTTATTCTGCAGTAGGATAAGCAGTAGGGTCAAATAAAGACTACTGCTTAGGATGCTGCTGGCAAACTACAATCTTTTATGAGAAGTGTTCAGTGTGTGCTTTTGTTGACTGAAAATGAATCAACACACAGTATATCCTGGTTCAGAGGTGGTGTAATCCTCCTACATCCAGTCCCACCCTCTTTCAGATGGATTTCACTAATGTATTAAGCCCAATACACTTAGTGTCAATCTAGTCTTGACAACTCTGGCCTAGATTGAAGGTGTTTCACGAGGAGTACAACACCACTCCAAACTACTCAATCCTTTAGGTTTTTCTCAATTGATCCGGTGGGGATCAAAAGGTACTCCTGACCTATCTAACCACACTCAGGCCGGGAACAACTGTCCTCCTGAAATGTTTACAACAATTTCTGATCTTGTTACAAGAAAGTTCTAACCTCCAACTAGGAACTAAACTTCTATGATTTAGCAATGAAGAGCTTGTATACTGGAAGTTTAGTGAAGCATGAGTCCAAGCAGATAGTAAGGTTTAGAATAGCACTTTCTCTTTTGCTAGATATCTCGTGAATGATCGTGATAGAAATTCTCTCTTTGGATGCTCAAAGCTTCGTTAGAAACTTTCGTTTCAGCCTCTATTTATAGGCTTTTTGGTTGATCAATCTTATCCGTTGGTTAGGATAGATTGATCTTGGACGTTGAAGTTCTGATGAGTACAAGTAGTACTTTTGTCCTTTTGTGCTGGAGTTTTTAATGCGGCGGTTCTCTTATCTTCAATAATCTTGGGCGCTGAAGGTATCTTCTATGTGTGCGTCCCATGACGCGACCCCCAGTACTTGATTCGGTATTAAATATCGGTCAAGTTTTGTCTTCAATCATTTACAATCAATGTATATGATTTTCGACCTTAGTTTCTTTTCAATAAATTGTGACATATTAATTAACTTTGGAGCTAAATAATATATGCCGGTAGGATTTAAATATCCTATTAAGGTAAATAAAAATTACCTTATTGCATTTTTATGTTTTTCGGTAATATTTCATTGGTCTCAAAAATTGTACATTTATTTTGTCACATTACTTTTAAATGCTAACTCATGAATAAAACTGAGACCCAATGTACACGTGTTAAGTATAGTGGCATCATCAAAATCTATCAAAGTTGGGTACTAACAATTTCCCCCTTTTTGATGATGTCAAAACTATACAACACAAGAATAAAATATGTTTATTGATTTTTCATTTGAGTTTTGTACATTGTTCTAGCTTCTAAGGTACAATAGTTTATAGTCAATTTCGGACTTTCGATCTATCCTAGTCTTCTCCCTCTTTTGCTTTCTTCTTGGTTTCCTCCTTAGCCTTGGCTTCTTCAGCTTTCCTCTTTCTGATTTCCATTTCTTTGTGTAGCCGCTTGTTCTTCATTTTGATTTCAGCTGCTTTCTTGGCTGCTAGGGATCTTTTAGATGAGGGGCCTGCTTGTGTTGTCCTTTCCCCCTTTTTGGCATCATGAGCAGGGGTCTTGCTTTCATCGAACAATGCTTCTATCTCTGGATCAGAAACAGTTTCTTCTTGTGCTCTCTTTGATGGATCTAAGCCATATACCTTGATAAATAATGCTTTGATGTAGTTGTTGACGTCCAGCAGATCTGTTCTTACCTCATCTCTGACTTCATTTTC